AGGAATATAATCAAGCGTTCATATTTATAATATTATTTGCATAGTTCATCTTACACAGAAAAAAAACAATCACAACATTGAGTTCGAACGGAGAACACTCATATTTTAAACAAATTAGCACGAACATTGTATATTTAAGAATCTTAGTTTAAGAATATAAGAAATAAACTACTTTGTTTTAAGCAACAAAACTTAACCTTTTTTTTATAGTTTTTTAACGCTTAGTACAAATAACTTTTTTAAATAGCTTTTTATTAATTACCAAACTTATTAACTGATTTGAACAAATGGGAAATCATTCATTAACAAAAATATATATCTAGACAATACCTATTTACTAGTTTTTAAAGAAAACATTAAATTAAATGTTGAAATGATAAAAAAGAGAATCGATAGGAACTAGGCTATAAGGCATAGGAAAGCTTTGCTTTGTTTTGTGATGAACAATTTTTCCCCCTACTAAAACCTTTGGGACATACATTTAAATCGAAGTTCGAAGTTCAAAAGTCAGCATGAGTCTACAATGGCGAGTTAAACGATCGGCATAAATCCCTAGCTGAATGAACTGGTTACGAGCAGTCTTGCAGTTGTGTTTAATCACAGGTAACGCGCTGCCGTTTAAATGCAAATGATGCGACTCTGTGCGGCGGCAATAAACGTGGCCAAGAGGCATTTCACCCTACATATGCTGAAAATGTGAATGGAAACGCGAATAAACCGAAAAAACGTGTGTAACCAAGGCAGTGCGAGCCCAGAGAAAGAAAATCATGATGGCAAATTTAAATTGTGTATTGTTAAAAAAAAAAAAAAATTGTAAACGTAATAACAAATATATATTTATAAATTTTAATTTCTTCAAATGTATTTTACTTGACAAATGGGATGATATGACTAAGAAGTACATTTTAAACATTTTGTTTCAGTGCACCTGGGCCCTTGGTACGGCAGGCTCAGTGGGCGTCTGGTTGTTGGGGGCGTGGTCCCGACACGTGCAGGTCTCGATTTGCGAATTTTTCGGCGGGCAGGCGGGGCAATTGAAAATTTAAGTGCCGCCGAATGGCAATGACAATAATGAGCATGATGACGAGTGCTTTGGGGGATGGCAACAATTATGCTGATGATGTGTGTACTACCACCACACCCCAAATGGGCCTGATACGATTGTTTTCTTTCCTTTGAAACAAACAAACAACGGAGGGGGATTTTTTACGGCTTTGGTTGACTGATAACGAGTGATTAAATGTATTTTTAAAAGCGTTTAAATGCGTTTTTCTATTTAATGAGGCGTTTCATTGCTAGCAATTCATCTCTTTTTGCAAATGTTTAATGTACATTCTTTATCTACCCAACGATTTGCCAAATAAGAAAGGTATATAATGGCAGACTCTACAAAAGGTAAAAATATTTTCCTGTTAAGTCAAACGGAAACTAAGTTTACCACATGGTTACAAAGGTCCGAAAACTTGCAAATTCTATTCGACTTTACGTTTTACGACAAAGAAATAATAAAATAAATTTCTTTGCGTTTGTCTGCAATGTTTGAAGTTTGCTTTTTGCAATAGTCTAAATTTACTATACATATATTGTGACCTTTGAATAATGCATTCAATTTATTGAATATACATGGCATTTGATTCATTCGTTTGTTAAATATTTCTGCCAGATTAAGGTTATCATAACCAGTGAGTGCTATTCGCTATGCTCAACCTTATTTTCAGCCATTAAAATTATTCCTAATTTATTATTTATATTCTGTTGCCATTCAAAATCATTTCCCTTTAATCAACATTATCTACACACTCCGAAACTAAGAGTATAAATCTATGGCGACCTTGACATGTTTTGGTTTAGTGACTCGCTCACGTCCGAACAGATAAACATTTGTTAAAATGACATTAAATTACACGAATGTCGGCTGACAAGGGGCAATTTAAAACTAATTTTGCGATCATCAAATGCCACCACAGCCAAGGCACATGAAATAATTGCACAGATGTACAGATAAAAGACGACCTGCGCGAATTCTACAATTCTGAAACACTCTAACCGGGAAAAACATAAAATTTAATATATGACAGCCAAAAATTAGAATAAAGAAATATAAAATTAAGCATGCTTGCTTAGTAAATATTGTAATAGAACAAATTTTCTTTCTGTCATCTGTAAGAAAACACAGTCGCTGACACTCTTTGCTTGCACTTAATTTAATACAATCAATCAGAAATTAATCACATTGATGGGTTTAGTAAAAGTATTTGAATGGCTGAAATAAGTTAATCGATTCTATTCAGGTCCAGGCAGTTGTCCCATTTTGAATAAGTGCTCTTGTTTGCGTCGAGCAAAGCCATTTAAGTAAATGCCCCACCAATGCCGCAACCCAAAACAAACCCATGCCCAACTACACGTAACCCAAGACCCAGACTTTGTGTTGATGTTTAAGGTCACTGCTGGGCTGTGATTAAAAACTGCGTGCTGTAAAATAAGTAAACTTGAAACGTAATGTTCGGGTGTGCACTTGGCGGCATCCACGAGATTGACATAATTGCAAACCCAGTAGCAAACCAAAAAAAACCAGCCAAGAAGCAGCTGTTTCTCGACGGCGCGCGAAATTAACTGGAGACTTGGGAACAATTTCCGCTTTGCTTGCTTGGTAGATTTAAAATGCAGAGTTACCTTACTGCATGGTGTTAATAACAAATAAAATTAATAAAAAAAAATCTTAATTTTTATATTTATCTTTGTGGAAAGCTGTGAAACATTCTCAGACCTATTAGCTGCTTGTTCTTGCCAAAATAATAATAATAATTAATACATTTTTAAGAAAAATAAAGCCTTTTGGGATCCTGAATAGTTAAAGAGCACCCCCCAAACGAAACACCCAAGTCAAGCATTTCCATTTGCTTTTGTTGGTATTCTCTTCGAACCGCAATATTGGGGATAAAGATGAAGATGAGCTTGGAGCTCGAGCTGGAGTGCATTCATTTGAGATAACCATTCTGATTGTGGCAAGGAAAGGCGGATGGGAGACCCACACAAAGCTGACCATAATTGAGATGCCAAATGGATTCACGTGTGTGCCGAAATTCCCTCCTACCCCAAATCGAATCCATCTGCGTGAGCAATTCAGTTCCTGGAATCCTTCGTTTGTTCAAACATTTCCGGGGTGCAGAGGCGGACTACTTCCGCAATAGAATCACGTAGGCGTCCAGGCGACCAATTATTGTCCTCTGCCCCGAAATTCCGTATGCAGGAGGTCAGGGTGCGAATTAAAATCAAATTCGATTTGGTGGCAAGCGAGGAAATTCTTCCAGAATCATTAGCGATTGGTTTTTGGCCAGCTGCTTTTGATTTCGAATACTTCTCTTCACGCCCTGATTCACAATCAGTTTTGGGGGCAAGCAATTAAAACAATGGCTCAATAAATATCAATAAATTTCGCCATCAGTTTTCCTATTTTGGCATAAATAACAATAGTTTGGGACTGACGTGTGTCAGTTGAGTGGAATTTCTAGACCAGCGAACACAAGCCAAATAACGATAAAGTTAAGCAGCACTCAAATCAAGTGTGAACCAATTGCAAACACGGTAAGGTACAAATATTCGCACCCAGCTACGTCTAGACCATGCGGCGTATGAGTGATGCAGTTGACTCATCCGCCCGGTGAGCCAGGTGAAAGTTAGCTCTATCCACAATTGCAGTCTACGTTTGCGGTGCATGGCGAATTGATTGCCGCATATGCGGAAAAGAAAGTTCACAGCCGGCTGCAAAGCTCAAACAAACGTCAATAACCCAGGCAAAAGACAAACCCACCATCGCTACTCGCACTCGTACATAATATTTAACTATTTACGAAGCAGGGGCAGCTTCAAATATCCAAACGGCAAACAGAAAACGGCAAACGGCAAACGGCAACTAATCAGCCAGCCACTCAGTCGGGCCTAACTTTGTTGCCTTTTCGCACCACTCGATATAAGTAAACAGAAATACGAGTATATTGAAACAAAACCAGCGGAATGCACAAGCTGATCGGTGGATACCCTCGTGGTTAACTGACCCTCCGAGCCTCTTAAAAATTAACTTTTAACAGTTTATTTAAGGGGTTTCTAGTAGTAGTCTTTTATTACAATGTGTAGAAAACACTTCACGTAAATTATTTATTCTCTGTTTGTTAAGTTAAAGTTGGCCTTTTTTATTAACGATACTAAGCAACTAAAATATTAATGTTCTCTTCAGAACCTGTTGTCAGATCTTTAAGAACTTTTTTTCCTCCTTTTCTTGCCGTCCTAAAGTTTAGATACAAGTTTTTAAAAGTTTTCAGTATGATATCATCATAGAGAATGAAAATGTCACCGTAAGAGCCATTTAACTTAATGTTAAAACCTAACATGACATTGTGAAATCGTCCCTTAAAGGTACATTAATCAAAAATGTTCTGGTCTATAAGATATGTTATATTTTTATTGATCATAAGAAGGCTTTGAAGTATACAAAAATCTATTGGGTAGAGTATCAGTAAGCTCTTATTAATACCCAAGCGCTTTTTTTTCTGTGTACCTACACCGATCGAATGGCTTGCGAAAGGGTTGGAGCTGCGCACGCGCAACGCGTATGGAGAACAGCTGAGCTACGTGCTCGGCTACTTAACTGCCCAGTGACCGCCTGCCCCTGCCACCGCCCCTGCCTCAGCCCCTTTTACCATAGCCAACGGCTATCCCTCCACCCTTCTGAGAGCCCAGAGCAAACACGTTAGGCGCCAACAAAGCTGAGAAACTCGCCTGGCAACCCGCTTGCAGCCCAGCCCGCGCAGCTCAACAAAATCTGAACAAAAATCTGAAAACAGAAAAAAGCAAAAAGCAAAAAAAAATAATAATAAAAAGAAAACAAAACAAAACGTGAGACGCTCCGTTGCCGGCTTGAGTTGGCCAGAGCGTCGGAGCCAGGTTTGTAGCTCGGTGCTTGAGGTTTGGGGCTCGAGTGGCGCGGGTAAGAGACTCTTAAGTGCTTAGCTCAGTTCAGTTGCGAATTTCATACAACACGAGTCGGTTGCCTCCGAGCGGCGTTCTACTGGCGAATAGTCGAAAATACGAGTCAAACAAAACTCCACTTCGATTCCGCAACAGAGCACGCCAAAAAATTAACGACAAAAAAAAGAAGTTTCGCGATTAGGCGGAAATTGGTCAAGCAAATAAGTTTTCAAGTGTGTGTGCTCGCGAAAGTGGCTTAATTTCCTCAAATTGGGAGTGTGCCAAAATAAGTGTTCAAAATGATTGAGAGGCGCAGTCAACTGGATAAGGTAAAACCTAGACCTTAACTCAGACGTTCTTAGCCAACTTCAATTTTATAACAAAATTAATAAAACTTATACATGAGAGTTTTCCTGTGGCCTGCCTATATGTACACAACCCTTAAAAAATGTATATAAAATTTAGTTATTGTCTATGCAAGTTTCACAAATGACAAAATTTTGTCAAAACGTGTGAAGTTTTTGATGCGAATTTCGTAGTTGCAAAACTCAATAGCCTCCCACAAACAATATGCTAGCAAACTGAGCTTGAGTTCTCAAAGTAAATACAAAATATTTAAACTATTTTAGGGCGTTTATATACTTTGAAGTTTCACTCTGTATTGATAAAAGAATTGTCTTAATAGGTGAGCCTATTAAAATCAAAATTGGGATGTATTCCTTAACAAGACCAAATTTCAGACAATAAGTTCTAAAAAGTTAAGAAATCATTAAGAGCATTAAAATACATTCTATTGTCTTCTTAACTTCTTATAAAATGTGGTGGTTTTAAATAGTTATTTTCTTGGACAAGACTTAACGTATAAAAGCTTTAAAAGTTGATATAAACTTTTTTTAGACTTAGATGATTAGTTTTTCTATTGCATAAAGTAAACATTTTATTTTAAAGAAATATTGTTTAGATATAGTCATAAATTATCTTGTCATATTAAGAAATTTAATTCAATAAGTAACATTACAACAGTTAATATAATTAGTAAGAAACCTCTACATTTTAGAAAAATATTTTATTATTGACCATTAAATTGTGTAACTTTAAAAAAAGAGTATTTAATTTTTCATAACCAAATTCATGCTGACGGTTTACGTCGGCTTTAAGTGTTTGTTTTATAGTTTCAATGATACAAGACACAGAGCATATTTATTTTCTTGATTGCGATCAGAGCAAAAGGGTGCTGGCTGGTGAGGTGATAGCTCTTGCGATTCTCATTGCCGGACCTCTGATTCAGGTTTTATTCTGGGCTCAGCAATCTGATTAATCAGGCATGTGCGAGATTTTCTTTTCAGGTTCTAAGCTTTTGCCAGTTCGCACGATCTGAGAACCGAGTTCTGTGTGCCATGTTTTCTGTATCTTCGCCTGCTTATCTGAATACTTGTATTCGCAAAAGTGGCTGAAGCTGAATTCACATACTTGGAAGTGACTCAGTCGTGGCTCCGACTCATTTGCATTTGTTTGGCAGTTAATAACTTTTGCTTTTGTTTGCCTGCTAGTCTGGGCTCTGAAAAATGTTGGAAATTCTAATTAAATATGTGCGTGTCAAATTACGTAAGATGTTCCGACTAAAATGAAAGTACACGCTCAAATGTCTAATTTATGCGGATTCTCAGCGATCGTTTCGCTTACAATGTATTTGCTAGTCAGGGCTCTGCAAAATTTTTGAAATTCTAATTAATTATGTGCGTGTCAAATTACGTAAGATGTTCCGACTGAAATGAAAGCAAACGCTCAAATGTCTAATTTATGCGGGTTCTCAGCGATCGTTTCGCTTACAATGTATTTAAAGCGCTCAGCGTCATGACGATCTTTAGCGTTCAGCGGAAATGCGACAGTATTTCTGGCCAACTGATCGATATAAAGCTATATATAGATATACGTCGGTGGATCTGCGTCACTGCGCATGCTCAGCTGCATTCATATGGAGCTTTAAGTTGATTCTGAATGAGTTGTGATTAGTTGTTCTTGTTCTTGACCGTGCTTCAGGTCACGTAGTCTTTGATCAAAAGCCACGTGCAGTGGGGGAATATCGGGAACCCCTATATCTCAGATTTCTAAGCGGAAGAGAAGCCAAAGTTCCATTATTGATGAGATTTTGAAAGCTGTGTACCTTATCGCTTCAGGGCAAGACTCTCAGCAGGTTAAAACAAATTAAGTAAAGCTACTCCTAAGACCTTATTTTAAAAGTTTTAAATAGACACTTTATCTAGAATTTTAGTTTGGAGTGAAATGAATCTTATTTGAATAAAAATGAAAGGTTTTTTATTTTTTAAAAATTATATGGGATATGCAAACTGGTTTGATATCAACAAAAGGTTAAGCATGTGCACGCCTAATCAGATTATCACGCGCTGTTTAAAACAAATAATCATATTAGCATTTATTGCACTCAATTAACGTTTAATTTCACTGTTTTAAAAAAAATGTTTTAAATCTAAAAAGTCAACGCTGTTGGATGTGTATCGTTCTGTGGCTATATTTCATGTTTAATTTAGCTTGAAAAAAAATTTAAATCAAATTAATATTTTTAATGCAATTAAAAACCAGTAAAAAATCAACATTTTTAATAACTTAATTATTAATGAAATACATAAAAAAAAATAGACATTGATTGATAAAATAGGGAAAACCTTTTAAATAAGTAATCACAAGAACACATTTTGATTAAAAAAAAGCACAAAAGCTTTATTAAAGTCTTAGTGCCGGGTTAAATGAAAATTAATTTCGTCCTGAGTAGTAAATTAAATAAACATAAAATACCCACTTTTTCTTGGCAATTGATATAAAGTGAATTGATGAAATTGATTTTATTGGCATCAAGTGTGTCTGCAACTCCAATGGGTTTATTTAATGGCGATGCCGATGAATGGGAGTGGAAGCATTTGATATTAATTAGCTGCATGATTAACGATAGCACGAGGGATACTTGCCCCTTCGTTAAACCAGGTTTAATTGTACTTTAACTCTGCCAATGAACCTTGTTCATTTCTCCTGAGCACTCGGAATATTATCTCAATTACGGGTTAGCTATCCGCTAACCACTCGAAACAAAAACAAACTTGGCCCGGTAATTAAATCAAATCCGCCAAGAAGAAGAAAACGTTAGCTAAGCAAATTATACATGTGCGAACATAAACAACAACATCAACACAATCTAACAACAAACGCCAAAGCCGCTAAGCAAATAATCAATGCTGGAAAGCGAAAATATGTAGTTATTGTTATATCTCAACGAACGTTTATCTGCACGTGTTTCGGTTCGGAGTCGGGGTGAACGGAAAAGAAGAAGATTAGAAGAACAAGTCAACACGCTAAAAAATATCAACCGATTTTTCCCCTAAAAGGTCACGTAACAAAAACAAAAGTCTAAACTCGACGCCAAAAAGCAAAAGACGCGATTCAAACAAACATAAAAAAAGAAGTAATGAAATTAAAGCAAAATCTGGAAATCAAGCTTACAGAATGGGTAGTGTTTTTTTTGTTTTTATGGGCATGTGTGTGTGTGTCGGTAACCCCTGGCAAAGTCAAGGCCCTCTCGCTCCATCTCTCTCTCTCTCTCTTTCCCTTTCGCTTACTCTTTCGCCATGCTGATTAGCTTCGGATTTTACAGTTACTCCATGACCCTGAGCAATGTCAAACAGTGGCTTACAAAAGGGGGGCATTTAAATGCATTAAACTAGTTTTGGGAACTCCACTACCATTTCATATAAAACTTTAAATATGTTAAAAATGTTAATGCTTTCGGCTTAAATAAAAGTGTAATATTTCACGAAACTTAAATATATAATGAGGCATTTATTAAATAAACGCCTTTCATTTATAATATTGACTCTAATGCACAGAAATCACATTAGTTAAAATAGGATTAAGCAAATCGATTTAAACGCAGGCATAATCAAAATTTACTTGAAATAATTTAACATTTAAATTAACATTAAAATATGAAAAAGTCCTTATGTTTTTTCTACAGTTTTTACACTAGCACTAGCACTAGCTAAAACACATTTTGTGGCTCTGTGCCAGCATCAACAGGCCAAGCTAATAATTTTTATTAATTTTGAAAGCCATACCCCATTATTGGTAAACATTTTTCTCAAGACATTGAAATAAACATTTTACTTCTATCTTTAATTTTAAACACATAAGTGTGACCAGCCAAAAAAAATAGGTGTAAAAATTGTTGAATGACTAAATTTGATGCTGTTCCCCGTTGTGGCCAATGTTTGTTGTTGCCAGAGCTCGTTGTTTGGTTATTCAGATTTTATGCATTGTCAGCGGACAACAATGAAATAATATGAGTGGGGGTAAACAGCCGGTTGAACATACAATTCAATTTAACGCTATGCGGGCGCGCCTGGTTATTTGGTTTTCTAGTTCAAGTTGAGGGTCAATAGCTGATTTGGCTTGCATTTTAGACCGGCTTTGTGTGTTTGTTTGCAATTTGTAAAATTGCCAAACAAATATTGATTGGCGGACGAAAAAAGGCAAATCCAAATAGCCGTTACTGCTGCTTGTCGACAACTGCGAAAATCTCACTGTTGCTCCCATCAGTTGCCCCACCTTAAATGTTTGTATTTAGCCAGGGCAAACTGTATAAGCGGGACGAGGGGAGGTATTCCTAAGGGCGGAGCCGATTCAGCGTGATTCATCCCAGGCTTAATGCATCATCCGTCGAGTTTGCTACACAGAAAAATATGTTATCTCTAGCTACGCAATACTAGTTACATTGACTCAAATCTGATTTTTGTAATATAATGAAAACTACCTCATTGGTATTGGCTACGATACTATGAAAACTATACCATTTCTTAAATTTGATTTATTCATTTGATTTGTTATTTTTCAATATCAATTTCCCCTCACTGCAGTTCGGTATATTAAAGTCTATTGACATATCTTTCTAAAATCTTGATTTGATTAGCAGATAGAGGATTTTGTAATACCCCCTTAAATGGTAAACAAAAATGTTATATTTACATATGGAAATTTTTGCTAGTGCAGCGACTTTATTTAGTTTTCCCAGGTTCAATTTTGTACACAGAAAATGTAGATAATCTCTAGCTACGTAATACTATTTTGAAGTACCATTTAAAAACTAATTTTTTGTTATATATTGTAATGAAAACTTCCTCATTAATATATACTACGATATTATGAAAACTATACACTTTATTAGATTTGTTTTATTTATCATAAGAAATGTCAAATAAGGATAGACTTTTAAATATCAGTTTAAATATTAACCCTCTAAAATTGTAAATCATAATTAAATAAT